ATGCACGCATTATCTATTCATAATTTTTTAATCAACGTTGTGAAATAGAGTTCGACGAAACTCAATAATAATAACTTTATAACTTTTTAACCAACACAATAGCCTCTCACTCGATTTTCTGTCGCTTTTCCAATCAAATTCTGCTGCGTTTAGAGTATTATCCGTCGCGCTAATGGAATTTTTCATGAGAGCATAAAATCGCTGGCCATCGATTAACGGGAGGGCTCAATAAATAATCCGCGCACGTGCGTCCTCACTGTCCTCCTATCAGGCTCGTCCACACACTTGACATAATAATTTAATCTATTTCCTTTCATTTCCGCCACCGACGACCGACCCAGTTATAACCGCAAACCCTATTTAGTTACGTCATGACGCTGACGTCGCGGCACATGATTTAGGAACCAACCGGCTATTGTCCGTGAGACAGAACCAGGTCGATTGCAGTGATTTTGTCTGGACATCTGACGCAAAAATACCTGACAAAAATTACTACAACTTAGTCATGTAGACGCCATGTATTGCCTTTGCGTGAAATACGAGCTGGAATTATGAAGATATGATTCCATGTGCCGGCACAAAATTCAGTTGAACCGAGAAATGCGGTGGATTTCATTATAATTTGCGGACAGACGTAACATGTATTAATGCGCGTGAATTGCTTTATATTACTATCTTGCATAATATGTATAAATTAACGGCAAATCAGTTTAAAGAGCAAAGCTAAAAATGTTTATACGATTAATCCGTTTCGTTTTCTCTAGTTTTATAATTACAAAATGTTAAGCATATGGAACATCAAAATTATTATTTTGTCAAACGTTAAAGTAATCTTTAAAAATAAAATTCAATTTATCTCCGAAAATGTCTCTCAACAGAATATTTCTCGAATATTCGAGGGATCTGTGGTTGATGATAGCGTACCGTTATCGGGGCATATATTGTACAAATGAAATAAGCAAGTAAACGAGATAGGGGGATGAGAATCATTTTTTTTTCACAGGGGTTTCTGCGGGTACTTTAGCTCGAGAGAACCACAAAAGGATACCAAGTATACAGAGATTTCGAAAAGTAAGGAGAAAATATGAAAAGTGATGCGAAATTCTTCGCTCTTGTTAGCTATCGCGTGATTGGCTATCATCAAAAGACGTTCCTCCCTCGCGCAATTTCCACCTCGTTTTCGACCTTTCTTTATCACCCCAAAAAAGCAATTTATTATGGAAATGCTTTGTGTAAATTATCCTACATCAATCTTCATGAAAACTCATACTAAGAATAGAGCGTGATGTTTAATAAAGGTATGTTGATATTAATAAATATATTTTAATAAAATATACTTTAATAAACACATTACTGAGATTTAGAAAATTATTACAACAAAAATAACACACAATTCGGTTGCATATTTCTAGCTTTTAATAATATTTAGCATATTTAATTCTGTTATTTATTCTTAAATTATTCTATGCACGTTTTAATTAATTAATTATATATATATATATATATATATATATATATACAATATGTATGATAAATATTTTTTTTATTTTTTATAAAATTTATAATTTTTTGTATCAATTTAACTGTTCCCTTTAAATTTCGTATTTTTGTTTGTAACTTTTTAATAAAGCGTTAAACAATCTATGTTCATATAACATTTTTTGTATCTAGATCTATAATTAATGATTACATATTATACTTTACTGGATATACTTTACGCATTTTTGAATAAAAATTAAAATTACTTTCTAATATTTCACATTTCTTCGCTACATCATATTCATAGCCCCATATTGTTTCGACAACACGAGTATTTGTGTTAAGCATATCACTCGAGTGTTATCATACATGAAAAAAAAAAAACCTCGTTTGTCTGTAGTGTCTATACTCTGTATAATAGTATGGACCAGCTAACAGCTGACTCACGATAAATAAGGGGAGGAAAACTGATCGATCGATCGCGTCGTCCAACGTGCGACCTCAACTTGAGTGGCCTCGGCTTCGAGTAGCCGTGTAGAAAAAGCGGCTTGTAGCCACCTCCGTTACGTCAATAAATATTTACTCTGTTTTCATCCGCCGTGCACCGATGTAATCGTACGTGCGAGGATCCGCGAGTAGAATCGCGCCGCGAACGAAAGCAACTCGTCCTCATTTGGCGCGACTGGGCGATAAATATTTACGGGTATTCCCACTTCAGTTCACGGGACCCGGCGCCATTGTACTTTGTAATATTCGCAACGGGGACGCGGGCGTAAAGCGATTTGGATTCATCGCGGACATGTATATAATTTCCATCGATACATATTTATCGCGTACTCCACACAGTCAGACGATTCGCGGTGACATAATGGGATTAGCGAGGTTACATCTTGAAATATATAAAATGACATCTACACAATTTTTTTATTGCTTATATGATATTTATATGATGAACTTTATATTTATATTTCCTCTTATTCCTTATTCCTTATATAGACTACTTATTTTTAAATTTATATATACATTTTTATACGCATACGATCTTTATTAACGTCTTTATAAATAGCCATCACGTTTTTGAATTATATTATCGTTTTAATTCCTTTTTGCTTCACAAAGCAGATAAGTAGTTTTATCTAACTCAGTACTTTTTACGTGAAATTAATTTGCAAATTAATTCTAATTGGAGTGTAATATTATCTTCGTTGAAAATTTTTCGATATTATACGCGTGAAAAGTTAAAATAAATTTTTACATTAATTATTAAAAGTAAAAGAGTTTGAAGAAGTTATGAAATAAAAGTTGTAAACTCTTATTGATATTTATTTGAATAATTCTGCTATGTAATACATACTTCTCTTTTTCGGAATTTGTATAGAAATATATGAAATAAATTTGATGGCAAACTATTATAAAAAATAATTAATTTACAAAGAAAGAAATAAGATAAATATCATTCACAATTAGATAAAAATAAATTTTGGAAATAAATATATGTGATATATAACTTATATAATTACGTACGATGTATCCTAATTTCTGCTTTCGTGCAACCTTTAATTAAGTTGCTGGGCAGCATTCCTGAAATATTTCGAGATATTATATTCGAAATATTTCATCAGGATATCAACTAGACAGACCATTTATTTCTCCATTTATTTCGAATGTTTCATGAATTTTACCTATGTATCTCTGTCCAAACGTATATATAATATATTAATGTATTAATATATGTAACATGTTATTGTAACATAAATGAAATATATAAGAAATATATACGAAATATATATGAAATTATAGATAAAGCTTATAATATATAATTTATTTTATAGAGAGAGAAAAAATTCATTACTTTACATTACATACAATATAATTGCATTTTTTTTAACTTGACATTAACCCAATTTATATTTAACTTTACATTTGAGTACATAATATAATTAAATATAAATTATAAATGTAAAATAAATTTAAAAAGGGATTATATAACACTTTGCAGATAATACAGAAAAAGTGTAATTTAATTTTGATTTAATTTGGAGCTATGCTATATTCCACGTGATAATTTTAAAATATAAAAGATATATTTGTAAGGTTCCATTAAAACAAGTTTTGGCGTTGGTTGTTTATTGAGATAGAAGTGGGGAGAGCACTGGGAGTTGTTGCATTTAATCAGCTTTGCGGAAGATATTATCTAATAGTCTCTCGCCGTTGCTTCGGCATGGATAACCAACTAAAGCAGCACGTCGTTACTGTTGCTGAAGTTTGGAAACTCTCAGAACGATGGCAACACGCGAACAACCGTATCTGTTTTCGCGGAACGCTCATTTTGCTAAGAACCAGACATGATAGCGTCCAACGTATGAAGTACGAAAATTCGGAAAAGGAAACTAACTACCCTGAGGCTGAAAGCTCGGAACATCCTAGGTTCTTCAATGTTTTCTGACCTAATTTTGAAATTGTAGTGGAAAATACACCGCAAGTCGCGTCCTATTGTCTTTTAGCCATAAACACTCTCGCGATTGATTCAACGCAAAAATTTTAATATAGTAATTTTATAATTTTTGAAGTTTTTTAATAATATATATTTCACGTATCTTGTCAACTAATCTCTAAGATTAAAAAACTTTATTAAAATATTATATTTTATTCCGTGGTTTTAATTTTATTTATATATATAATATAACGTAAATATTTTTTATAGTAAGAAAAAGATCACAAAAATATGAAAAGGAAAAGTAATAAGTAAATGAAAATAAATCTTTCCAAACACATTTATACTATATAATGACTATCGATAAAGACGTAAGAATTTTTGAATCTTTTCTCGAGTCTGTGAATTTCATATTATACCCCGGGGAACCGAAAGTGTTCCTAGTTCGAAAACATATTAGTGATTGAGCTTCGACACGATAAAGCTTGAGCTTATTGAGTCTATAAAGAGAACAAATGTCTAGAAAGTAGAAGGAAGGAAGGAAATAATGATATTTTATCGAGATGCGATCATGCGTCCTGAGCGTTCCTCTCGATCAAATTTCTATCTTTCGTATTCTTGCAGAACCGGCGGGTCTCCATAAATTCATCTCTTGCACAACCGCACGATCTGTTTTATATCAAATAGATTGAATCTTTTATCTCAAAACCAATGTGAAATCGACATGTGATTTCCGTATAATTTAACGAAATAAGCAATGGCAGAGTTCACACGCAGCAGACTGCACCGTGAGAGCAATCGGAAAACGTCGAATACTGATTGTTAAATTTATTTGAAGATTGTCATTCTTTTATATCAAACTCGTAACTCAAGTTGCTTTGATTTGATCAAATACACGTGATATGTGAAATATGATTTTTTACGAAATATACACACCTAGTTTCTTTTCATATTTTATCGATAAAGAAACAACTTGGACAACATTTATTTATAGCTTCGTTTATAAAAATTATCGCACACACATTTCTGCGAGACACAACAATATACGTATATGTATTATTATATGTTTGAAAAAGTCTGGTTTTACCTGATTCATATATGACCTGACGAATTCCATGCTTTGATCCAGAGCGTAAGTGTCGCTGCTGCAAGAATCGATGATAAGAGCACCCAATGTTGTGTTCGGCAGGAGTTCTATATCAGCATTAATTTCGTCCAGGACGTACAACATGGCTTCCAATCGTTGCATGCCCTTTTCTTCTTTTACGGCTCCACATGGTAGTTGACCTGCGACCTGGGAACAAATAAATGTACGTGTCATTCCATTCATTTCATCTTTTAAAGTTTTTAGATATTTATCTACTTAATTATTTACTTTTACTTTACATTTATTTATTTATTTATTTATTTATTTATTAATTACTCATTTACTTTTCCTGCTTATGAAATAGTATTACGTAATACGTTACGTAACATTCTAATAAAAAATTCTGATTGTAAATAAACAATTTCTCTTTCATTTCTTTAATTTTAGTTTCGCATATTCCGTTTAAATATCGTATAAACAATATCGTATAAACAATATAATAAATATGTCACCGCAAAGAAAAATTTTCAATGCACGCTGCGCTGTTTTCAGGAGTGATGAGAACAAGGATAGATTCGTTCGGCTTAATTTCGTTGGCTTAATTTTCCCCACTTTTCCTCAGAGTCATTCATTTGTACAATGTCTGGCACGTGCACGAGCACGAGCTCGGCGTCGTGGGACCGAAAGATCAAATGACAGACTTCGACCCCTTCGTATTTTCAAGCACCACGGTCGAATGCGCCGCTCGACGCTGTTGACGTCGAGTTCAAGGAGAGTATGAGAGAAGTTTGCGGATACGGTGGTAGTACTGTAAATCCGCACGTCGCTTCAATGGCTAGTATAGAGGGATTCCGTCAAACCCAAAAATATACAGTCCGGCTCAAACACGCTCGTAAATTTCGACGACAACACGATCCAGCCGCTGATTTTAATGTTTGTGAAATCAGCTGGGAATGCTGACCATTCGTTTCCGGGGTTACAAAGCTTTCCCGGAATAAAGCTTACCCGGAATAAAGCTTTCCCGGAATAAAGCTTTCCCTTTTAATTTTAACAATTCAGGAATCTGTTTTTGCTGAAAGTCAGAATATGGTAGGGAATGATGAATATTCTCTCTCTGTAAATGTAATATATAAAATCAAAATTTGACCTCGTTAATTTTATGTCTATTTAATCGAATATATTTGAATGTTACTTCAGACCATTTCAAATAAATATTTTTAAATGATATTTCAAATTATAGGTAAAGAATCTTGAAATGATATAAATAATATAAGTTATATAAATTCTATCAAATAATCATATCAAATTTAATGTTGTTATTATCTTTTTAAAAATATTATGAGACGCAAAAATATTGAATACAGGCATTAAAGAACTTTGCAATATACATTCGCAAAATTTCTACATTATGAAATAAAAACAATTCTTAATATAATAGTTAGATTAATAGTTGGTATATATTTATGATTTTTTTAAATATATTAAAATATTATATTTAAATATTATATTAAAATATTATATTTAAATGTCATATTGAGAAGATAATAAAGACAATTAAAGATGAAGAAATTTTTTTATCTTTAATACATAATTTTTATTCGTTATGTGAATTGAGTAAAAAAAAAAGAAAAATTGATTGTTATCGAAAAAGTTGCGATATTGCCTCGTTGAAAATTTATTCGAAAAAACTGATCACCCAAGAATCCTGGTCGCTCGTTACTCAGGAGTCACTATATCAAGCGACAAGAACAACTGGTGAGAACGAAAGTTATCCGTTAGAGGAAGTTCGATAGTTATTTTGCACGAACTACTTACGCGACAACAATAAATCAGCTTAAAGTTTTCGATATTATTGCACCTATAACTGAGAGAGGTGGCATTTCACGAGCATGTTTACTTCGCATTTTGTGCAATCGAACTTAGCCGCGTATTCAAGAGGAATGAGAGAGAAAGAACAAGTTAAGATTGGAAGGAAAATGAATATTAATGAAGATTTCTAGAAGAATTTCTAAATAAAAATGTGTGTCATTTTATACAAAAAAATAACAGTTATTTCTCTTCAACAAATTTGATTAATAAATTTTCGTTAATTTAAAACGGTTTTGAATCTGTAGATATATGGATTTAGTCAAATAACGTATGTTATAATTTAATTTTAATTAGATAATTTTTAATTAAATTTAAAAATGTTTATATTAATTATATAATAATTTTTCTTTTAAAATCAACGTACATTATCACAATATTATCATTATAATATTACTCGATATTATTTGCACATAAATTCATATTATACATAAAACTTGATTTTTATTTATATTTGATAATTTTTATACTTATATATTTTTAATATTATCTATCATTTATTTTCACCGAGGAAAAGACCAAATAACAATTTAATAAATTTTATATTTTCCGCAGTAGAATTGTATACTGTAAAAATCGTATTGTACGTGGTTGTAGCGAGAAAAGTCTGTTTTTCTTATCTTTTTGTTATTTAAAATAAATATTTTATTTATTGTTTGACGCACGTAGCGCGCTATTCGCTTTACAATGTTGCATGTAATTTTTTATGGAAATTTTGAAACATCAGTTTTTAAAAGGAAAAATATTAAATCTAAAACTTTTGCAATTTTTCGCAAAACTGCGTTTATTTATTTCTTTTTTTCTCTTCTCCTATTCTTTCTTAATGGAATATTTTGTGAGGATAGAACGCGCGCACCCCACCCACACACACACACACACACACACACACACACACACACACACACACACACACACACACACACACACACACACACACACACACACACACACACACACACACACACACACACACACAAAACTCGATATCTACGACCCTTCACATGAGGTTACAATCTATGGTGTTACCCTATATTCCATTTCAACCACGTATATGACGTACGTATATGACGTACGATATGACGTCAAAGTGAGCCTGGGTTTGTTACGTCAAACTTTTACATGTGTTGAGTAACATGTACCTAGGCAATTGGCGGAAGTTGGCTTATTTTCCATCTGCGAGCGTAATAAATTATTTCTCTCAAAAAAGTAAAATATAAATAAAATATCGTTCGTTTATGACGTTTGAATAAATAAAGTTCCAGATAAAATTAAACTATATGACTCGATTACAATTATCAGCTTATTTAATTTTTCTCTTTTTTGTCTCTTAAAAGCATATTTTAAAAAAAAAACAATATGTACTTTTGTGAAGCATAAAATTAAATAAAGCTTAAAATTTTTATGAAATAGAATCTTGATAGAAAAAAAGATTATTTTAATTAAAAACATTGAAATTGTTATATCTAGATTTTCAGAGCTTGAAATGAAATAGAAATGAAATAGAAACAGATTTTAATATTCATACTTTTTATCTTTTTTTTTCTAATAGCAAATTGGATTAATGAATTTATGAATACTCATCATCTGTTTTAATAAATATGTAATATATGAAACGAAATAATTAGTTAAACAAAATTATGATTTTAAAAAAGAGAAGCGCAAGTATGCGTGTGTATGCCTGTTCGTCTGAAAATTGATATTATTTAAATTTTTCTTCTCGGCTATTGTAGAAGGATTTTCATCGTTAATATTAATGGAACTCGGCAAGAGTAGCAAGCGAACAGAGCCCGTTTATTTGTTCGCCGTTGGCGACGAACACTGCGTCCTTATTCGAAATATTCATTATTTTCAAGTGGACAAACTTGGAAGACGAGAATGCGATTTCTGCGAGGCAATTTGAAACGAAAGAGCGTAGAATATAAAAGAAAAGTGGATACAAGTGTAATATGTAACGGAGTCGAGATACAATAGATGCACATTGACTCTCTCCAGAATCAAATTCCAGGTTAAAAAAAAAAAAACTAGCAATTTTAATCTTTACACGCAAAAAATGATACACTTGACTTTTCTCGTGTATAGAATGATACACTTGATTTTTTTTCGTAAATCGAATAAAAAATTTGCGGTATTATAAAGTATTTTTAATTTGGTCGGCGGCGCTGATTCTCTGGGCTTTGAATTCCCTCCTTGTAACACAATGGCGCTCACTTTGTATATGGGGATGTCGAGGACTTTCGTAAGATCTCGGGACTCTTCGTAATTTTTTAGTTTAGCTCTGGTTGTGTTTCAATAACGTTTATACGTCCATTGTCCAAGATTTTATTTTGATCTTTCTTTAGAATAAAAGATATTGTTACAAAAAACAAGTACGTTCATTGGGTCCATCAAATAAAGGAGATTTATACAATATGTTTCTCCCGCAGTCGCGTTAGAGTGCGGCACCGAATAATTAAGCAGTATGTTTGCCACAATTTTATATATTATATAAAGTATATAACACATATATATTATATATTTTATATAATTTACACATTATCTAATTATATAGTATATCATATAATTTATATATATATATTTTGTTTTTTTATTTGTTTATTAGAAATAAAATATTTTACTATTACACATTTGTGATAAATTAAACTTTCGACAAAAGATTTAATTGGCTGACTTAAGACGTAGAGAATAATATATAAGCAAATTACGTAAATGAGTAACAAATATTTTTCTTTTTTAAGAAATTAGCTTCAAACTCTTACTCTAATACAAATTTAATTTGCAATCCAATAACTAAAATATTTATCGTAGAAAATTGAGAAAATGTGATCAATCTATATACTATTGTATAGATACGGTATCTTAACCAAATCTAAATTCTCTTTAAGGAAAACTCGATTCCCCAGTTATCGAAGAAATCTGTAGCTAACAAGAAATATGTGAAATATGTGATTGATACATAGAAAATCTTAGGAAGGAGCTTACCTGTTCGTGCATTGGAAAGATCCCACCGAGAATAATGTCGCCACCGATGCGTATCAACTTCGAGCCATCTTCGCCAGTATTTTTTATGTTGTAACATTCGCTCGTTATTAAGAAGCACCACATCCACGGCAGAGTCCACCGTAAGTTCATTTTGGCCGTGGAAGCTGAACTACTCGAGCGGCTTGCGGTTGACACCTCGCTAAAAGCACAAATAACAGGTTCAGGTCATTTTGAGGAGCCTTTTTAAAAAAATGTATGAGTACTTTCTCGCTACTTTGCAACACAAACAAGTAATAAATATTAATAACATAACTGGTTACATTAAAACAATGTGAGGAATTCGAAGATACTGAAGGTAAATATTAAGAGACTGTTTTCTGAAGCTGTCTCTCTGAGGAAGAAACGATGTGTACGTACTTCTGATGCACTTGGATATTTTATTTCAATTGAAATCAGAATAAATCGATTACACGTCAGACGCACATATCTGTTTGTATTGTCCGTATTCCCTTCATCTTTTTCATTTCACAATACGATTTATTAGCGTTGCGACAACAATGCTTGTAAAAACTGCTCGAAAACAGCTTGTAACGAGGCTCTGAGTTGAAAGTTTCAATAATCGATAAGCAACGTCATATATAATTCCCGGTGCTGTGTGCTGAAAAGCATGAATTTATAAAGCGGAAGCGGATAAATACGTACGTGTGCAAAATATTTACAAAATATAAACATATCGTATGTTACATTTTCCATCTCTGTCTGTTTTAAACTTTCTCACTCAGGTCACGATTTCTATACTTATAAAACAGTTTCTTTTCGGCAATAAATCTCTGTCCGCGACATATTAAAACTTTCACGTTTGTAGATAGAATCTCCTAGTTCATCCCGTTGAATTTTCTTTTTAAAAATGATCGAAGTATAAACTGTTGCTTAAAAAAAAAAAAAAAAAAAAAACAAAGATTTTCAGTGATTTTCTTTCAACAAAAGTTGACTTTGGAATTGCATTTCGAGCGTTTAAAGTAAACTCGATCTTTTCTCCTCTTTAATCTAATTCGACTTAAGATACAAGGTGTCGTACAAGGATCAAGAAAATCCAACCTTCTCTTCTTTAATTACTTCGTTGCTCGTCGACGTAATGCGACCTTACGTCTTTATCGTCCAATTTTCTTCAATCGCAATCGTCGCAAAAGCTCGACTTTTATCGTTAACGGAAAAAGTTTTTCAAGCGATTATTTTTATATCAGCCATAAGTAATCGATTTTACTCGTTATACGAGTGACGTCGTATGAACATCGAGAAAAAATCCGCTCATTAATATATTTTTCTTTTTAATTACTTTTACCCGTTTGCCTCGAGACACGCTTATACGTACACCGAGCATTTGTAAGCACATCATTTTCTTATGAGAAAAAGTTGCTGATTGCGAATCTGCTTGTGCGTCTACAATCTAATTCACGGCGATGCAAATGAAGAGAAGGGAGGAAAGTACTAGCGGTGAAATGACTTCGTTAAACAAATTTCATTTTCGCTCACGTCTTTACGGCGTGTTTCGGTTTTCTAATTGTCTCCCATTTTGCGTTCTCCGAAAGCCATTCAAGGTTGTAATTTTGTAATTTAATTCAATGTACAATTAAGTTAAGGCTTGTCGAAAGAAAACTTCTTGTATATCTTTTCTCTTTATTCTTTACATTCTTTAATATCTAGATGACAATGAATAGGAACAAATGACTTCAAAAATTTAACGACTTATGATTAGATTTGAAGATTTTTCTTATTTTGTACAAATAACAATATAAAATGTTACATAAAAATTAAACCTAAATTACTTACAAATAAAATTAATATTGATAATTTCAATTTATAAAAATTTGAAGCAATAACAATTGCAAAGTTAAAAAAGTTTGAAAGATTCATTTTTTTAATTAAACATTTTTATGCAGTGAACATTATTTGGATGCAAATGCGATTAGTTAAAGATCTCTTAGTAAATTTCAAAATAAATAGTTAAATTATGTCTTCGTGAATTAATTAATAACATATAATAATTATAAATATAAAGTTTTAATTTTTAAATTTTATTATTTATACCAGAAAATAAATATAAAATTTGGCGTTATCAGTTTATTAAAACACATTTCCGCATTAATAATTTTTACGTGTCAAACGGCTAAAGATAAATCAATGTTGTCGCTTTAAACACATTAATAATTCAACACTGAATTTGAATATGTTACAATTTCACAACAGACACACATACACGCAGATATGTAATTTGTAAAATATTAACTTTCAGCTTGTATAAAATTCATAATAAAAACAACAGCTGTTTTTCAGTTCTCGTGATATATAGAGTTTATTCAATACTTGTGCTGTGTCTTTTTATTAACAGATTGAAAGATAATATTCAGATTGAAACACGGAGGTTGAGAAAAACAGTTTTATATAAAATCTTACAAATCGCATCAAGAGATACTAAATATCAGCCAATTACTTTGATATAAATAAAGCTAAAAATCTTTATTATTGAAAATAATGCTGAAAAATTATTTATTATGGCGATCAATGCTACAGATTACATCTACTCTCGATAATCGCAAGAAATATTACTCCGTGTATTTTTAGCAAATTATTAAAATTATTCTCTTTCTAAAATACGCAATAAATTCGAATGGAAATTGTCGGGAAGAGAGATTTATTTAAATTAATTTGAATTCTTTTTTAATTTTATTGCGACTCTATCGCGTTTGGCTACACTCAAAGATATATAGTAGCATGCTGAACACTCAACGCTTCCACTGAGATTGAATGGCATTGTATCGAACATACCAGAATTCAGTGAGGCGTTCCGCTTGCCCTAGAAGAGTCTCATGAATGTAGAGCATTAGCGCGACCTGTGGCAGTGATCGCCATGCGAGTAATTCCTCGTAATTCCATTGGAGTATGGGCTTTTATTGAGATTTTTGGCTCGCTCAACTTCATTAGTAAGCGTATGTTAGCCAATAATAATAAAGTAACGCCCTCTTCAGTTGTTATTCTATTCTGTGAAAATCGTTATAAAAGTCTTTTTTTTCTGGGATTACCCCATTTCCATAAATATCAAGTTTAGTATGTTCCATAAGCAAATAAGAAAACGTAAAGATGATCTTAAAAAGAATTCTTCAATTTCTTTTTAAACTTTTAAACCGATAGAAATTAGAAGTGGGAATTAGTGGGAACAAAATTAAACTTCATTGTTTTACAGAATAGTTCAATGACAAATAAGGACATGTAAGGACATTGTTCTAAATTTATTCTATTTCTCTTATT